CAGTGCAGGAAGGACTTGCTAGAAGTGTCAACAGATCTTGTCCCAGCTGCTGTTCAGCTCTGGGCCATAACCTTCTTCACTCACAAAAAGAAATCAGAGGGAAATGCCTCCGGCTAGCTGAGAGCAGAGTATCCTATCAAGTGATGAGAGGCTTCTTATTTTCTGCCTTTTTTTAGTTGTTCTTTTCTTTTTAAGAAGCACCTAGTTGTTCCACTTAAAATAAGACTAGAGGGACTACATGTGAATATTAAATTTTTAGGTTACACTCATACTGCTGCATTGGAGACTCAATGCCAATAAATTATCCTGAAAGTAGAAACAAAGAACAAATGATCAAAAGTGTGCATATTTTAAATTATGGGTAATGAGAACGATAAAAAGCTAATACGCTGAAGAACTAACTGCATACTGAACCAGCTCTTACACAATCATAAGAAAAGACTGAGGCAAAGGAAAAAAAAAAATACATGCCAAAAAAAAAAAAGTCCTACAGGACTAATCTTATCTATTAAAACCTCCTTTCCTCAATTATAACAGCTTCCCAAGCAAGAAGGAAGCAGTGCTCACTAAACAAATGCACACACATTATTTCCCAGATCTGATTATGCCCTTTACCTTAAATTATAGCACTGAAAACCCATCCCCACTGCCAGTTTCACGACACAACTACAGCAAAAAAACAAACCAAAACAAATAGGGTGCTGTAACAAAAGGCAGAAATTGGCTGCAAATACCTGGAATTTAAATACAGTCCAAGTGGAAAAGAAAGAATATCAGCCTAAAATACAGTTTCAGGTCACAGAGTACAAGAAACATATAATGCTTTGTTTGCAACAACACGTGAAGAAGGTATTGTGGATGCACTTGTCCTCATGTGACTGTATGCCAGAAGATAAAGCACAGTAATTGTAAACATCAATTGTTTCGAAATAATCTAGTCATCCCAAGTTTGCAACCATAAAAGATCTTATCAATTAACAGCATGAGTTCACATCAAAAAGTTAAATTACCTTCAAATACAGAAGGTACTTTCCAATACAAACATTTAAGGTACCCAAGAAAAGCCAGCCATCTGTGTTGTTTGTAGAAAAGCTCTTTTCTGTGTCAGTACACCACATTTAAGTTTATACCAGAAGTTACTACTAAATATTTCAGCTTAATGGGCTGCACAATAAAGAAATGGAAGCCACGTAAATTATTACTTGCACAAAAAGCACAGAATACTCCACGGCATCATCAGCTCACATGATTTTTTTCTTGTATTAAAAGATCATGAGCTGCAAACAGCCAGATGTGAACAAAAGAGATAATGTACTTAAAAAAACCCCCAGATTTATATCCAGGAGGGCTCGATGTAGAGGACAAACCCTTCCTTCAGTTGTACAAACTAAGCCCTGGACAAGTTCATCTGGAATTTTGAGAGGCCAAAGGCAGAAGCTGGTTATTTTACCAAAGTTTTACCATTAGCTTTATCTCCCAAGCAAATGACCTTGCATGAGGTCCAAATAAGAGATGAAACATTTTCATAGGTAAACAGGAAGAGGACAATGGGTCACCCTGAATTTTAGCAAAGGATTAAAAGACACAAGCTTACTTCCCAGAGTTCATAGATTTCTTTTCTGAGGTCCTCTGATAGAAGCTGGGTCAGCTGTTGCATAGCTGCCTGGAAAAAAAAAGAAGCCATTTCCATTTATGTTTTGAGCAAGCACATTTTTATCATTACCTTTTCTGAAGAATTAACTACTTGTTATTAAGTCTGTAGAAACACATACTACACAGTATATTGTTCTAAAGTGCACATGTACATAAATCTGCCAGAGAAACAGTAGGACCACTCAGTGAATAACCTTTTCTGGATGCTGCTTAACTAAATTGTTAGAGAACTAGTCTAAAACACAAGAAAAACAACTGGAAAGTGCATCCAGTATCTTCAAGGGTCCAAAAAGAAGCCCAGAGCAAAACAGGCAAGTCAAATGCCAGGGAACTGCCATCAATTACCAACTCTGCTTTCCAGATTTAACTATTGGAGGCAACATCTGAACTTAATAGGTTACAGGTGCAGTTCATAAAAGCAGCTTTAGAATACTAACTCCTACTGTTGACAAGCAATTGCCCCCTCTCAAACACTCAGCTCACACATTTCCACTAGCAGGGCTCGAGAACAGCTACTGTCAGGCAGGCAACACAACATTAGCCTTTAAAAATCTCCAATTTCGAAAAACAGAGGAAAAAAATCCATTTAATACCCTGTAGCAATAAAACACAGTGCTCCCAGACTGAAATAACATTTGTTAAACAACAAAAATCTTGGTACAAGATTTAACACAGTATCAAATTGGCTGTATAACCAGCAAGCTGAAATTGTTCTGCATGTTCTTCGTGCTCTCTCAGCTTATCAGTCTCATTTATGTGTTATTTCTACTGTTTTCCTAGTAACACTAAGGGCTGCTTCTGAAACAATCAACATCACAGGCAAGACAAAGGTTTTGTGCCATGATTGTTTTTCCACTTCAAAGACAGGCTATAGTTTCACAATACAGCTGAACTGAATCAGCTGTTCCCCACCACTGAAGCATCAAGGTCTCATTCCTTCCCCACCCCCTTCCAGCTCTGGAGCTCATTGGATTTCAAGGTTAGCAGGCCAAAATGATTTACCTGGCAAAAACACCCCAACCAAACACCTTTTTGTTTTTTATATCAAGTTCATTTTCTGCTACCTTAGCCTTGGTGAGACTAGCTGATTAAACTTACTGCAGCAAACTTCAGAACTAGCTCAATGACAGCTGTAGAGCAAAGGGAAAAAAAGGAGAACTCTGCAGCCGAAGCAGCATATTGATTAATTCAGCTCAAGCCACCTCATGAAACCGTTACCCTTGGTGTATTTTTACAACAAAGTATTTCAGAGTCAGCCTCAATGTTTAATGCTTGACCCTCCTTCCCACAAAGTCAACAGCAAAGTCCTCACTGAGTGAAATGGGAACAGAAGGAGCTGCAAATACCTAAGAAAACTTCTTAAGCATACTTAGGTAGCAAAATATCTTTTTCACTGCCTAAATACAAACAAGAATTCCCTCTAGGCAAAGTTGAAGCCTCATCCTCAGTGACAAAACCACCTTTGGAGGCTTCCAAGAAAGAGGGTTTTTTTTTGTTTAAGAACACACTAGGAAATACACTGAAAGAAATACCAAAATTGCAGTCAGCAAACATAGTACTTCAAGAACATGGAATACCCCTTTGATCTTTAATTTCCACATTCTTAGCAAAGAGCTTACTCCTAGAGTTAGTCATAGCCCCCCAACCCCACGTTTTAAACAGGTAAGCATAAAGGTGGGTGGGAGGGGAATAATCACTGCAATGGGTTTGTTTTTGGTTTGGGGTTTTTTTGGTTTTTTTGGGGTTTTTTTGTTTTTTTTTTTTTTTTTACACTCTGAAGAACTAACTGCAGGCTCTAAAGAGTTTCTGAGGCATCACGTTGCCCTCTAGCTGTGGCTCGAGGAGTGGTTTACATTTTCTTCAAATAATGCAACAAACCAGAACTGACAAACCAACAGTTTGCGTATGTACAAGGCCAAAAATAAAATAACTCTAGGCATGCCGCACTCAAAGACTCATGACAAAAAACAACACCTGTGTCTAGAGTCCTGTGCAAATAGTTTAAAGTCTCTGTCACAACCACGCGATCTGGCACCACACAAATGACATGCTGTGAACTCTCATCACCCTTCTCAGTGCACCTACTTCCTGCTCCCCACTCCTTGGTAAGCCTGGTCAACATGACTAATTCAGGCTACCAAAAATCCAGCCAGTTCAGGAATAATTGGCCAACATGAAGCTTAATTCAAAGGTTCCCCTTCCATAGTTTGTACTTGGTGACGTTACATGTACAAAAAAATTACAGTGAGCTGAAAACCTTGGTTAGTTGTGGCATACTTGTCTAATGCCATTTACAGTATTATGTTGCTTAGAGGGTCCCTTCACTACCACCAGAACATTAAAATCATGCAGAACGCTTTGCAGATGTGGCTTCACACCTTATGTCCATACCTCTTCGCTCCTGTGTTTCTCCTCTTTTGAGACATTATCTGCAGGAGCAATATCTCCAACAATGCATTCAGCCATATCGTGAACCAAAGCTAATCGTATGCATCTGACAAGAAGCAAAGACAGAATAGTTAGTTCTTCAGCATTTTAAGCTGCATCTTGTTATTCATAAAACCAAGAGACTGCATAATTTATCTCCTTCATGTATTTTATAGGTTGGTTGGTTGTTTTTAAACTTTACATAACATTTTTCACTCCTTTGCTAGAGGAAGTAGTTTCTACCTAGAAATGATTTTAATTCCTGATTTATACTACAAGCAGCTACTGCTGCTTGTAAATGTAGACCTCAGGGAAAAAGGGAAACATTACACCCATTTTTAAAAAAGGTAGCAAGAAGGACCCTGGGAACTACCAACCTGTCAGCCTCACTTCTGTGCCTGGGAAGATCATGGCACAGATCCTCCTAGAAGCTCTGCTAAGGCACATGGAGGACAGGGAGGTGATTCAAGACAGCCAGCATGGCTTCATGAAGGGCAAGTCCTGCCTGACCAGCCTAGTGGCCTTCTATGATAGTGACCACATCACATAAAATTGGTAGCTCTTCCCTTGTCCACTATCTGGACTTCTGTAAGGCCTTTGACACAGTCCCCCGCAACATCCTTCTCTCTACATTGGAGAGATATGGATTTGATGGGTGGACTGCTGGATGGATGAGGAATTGGTTGGATGGTCGCATCCAGATGGTAGTCGTCAACAGCTCAACATCCAGATGGAGATGGGTGATGAGTGGTGTCCTTCAGGGGTCTGTATTGGGACCAGTACTATTTAGTATTTTCATCAATGACAAAGACAGTGGGATCGAGTGCACCCTCAGCAAGTTTGCAGACAACACCAAGATGAGTGATGCAGTTGACATGCCTGAGGGAGAGGATGCCATTCAGAGGGACCCGGACAGGCTCAAGGAATGAGTCCATGTGAACCTCATGAGGTTCAACAAGGCCAAATGCAGGGTCCTGCACCCGGGTCAGGGCAAGCCTCACTATCGATACAGGCTGGGGCATGAAGGGATGGAGAGCAGCCCTGCTAAGAAGGACTTCGGGGTACTGCTGGATGAAAAGCTGGACATGAGCCAGCAATGTGTGCTCACAGACCAGAAGGCCAACTGTATCCTGGGCTGCATCCAAAGCAGTGTGGCCAGCAGGTCGAGGGAGGTGATTCTGCCCCTCTACTCCGCTCTGGTGAGACCCCACCTGCAGTACTGCATCCAGCTCTGGAGCCCTCAGTGCAGGAAAGACATGGACCTGCTGGAGCGGGTCCAGAGGAGGGCCACAAAAATGATCAGAGGGATGGAGCACCTCTCCTGTGAAGACAGGCTGAGAGAGTTGGGGTTGTTCTGCCTGGAGAAAAGGCGGCTCCAGGCAGAACATATTGTGGCCTTCCAGTATTTAAAGGGGGCTTATAAGAAAGATGGGGACAGTCTTTTTTGCAGGGCCTGATGTGACAGGATAAGGGGTTAATGGTTTTAAAGTAAAAGAGGGCAGATTTCAACCAGATATAATGAAGGAATTTTTCACAATGAGGGTGGTGAAACCCTGGCACAGGTTGCCCAGAGAGGTGGTAGATGCCTCATCCCTGGAAACATTCCAGGTCAGGTTGGACGGGGCTCTGAGCAACCTGACCTAGTTGAAGATAGCCCTGCTTGCTGCAGGGGGGCTGGACTAGATGGCTTTTAAAGGTCCCTTCCAACCCAAACTATTCTGTGATGGAGGGAAAAGGACTTCAAACTCCTTCAGTGTGTTTTAAAAGTTATCTCTCAGGACAGCTGTTTTTAGCATTTTGGTTGCAGCATTAACACATGGTCATGGTAAGCAGAGGCAGCCTCACCTGTCCTTGTTAAGGCTTTTGTCTTCAGTCACCAAAGCCATCATCGCCATCCTGTACATATGATCGGATACGCTCTCTGGCTTTGCCACATTCCTGTACACCCATCCCGTCCGTGGTACTCTCTGTGTGAGGAAAGTGTCACAGCAACATAAACGTTAAAACCTTCGGTTTTGAAGGACCTCGCTTCAGTGATGCCACCTGAAATTTTGCTCTGCCGTGACCTCTATGCTCCGGTGAGCTTTGATGCCTCCGGGAAACACCTGCCCCAAGGGCCTGGCTCCCCGGGGCTGCGGCAGGATGCCCCTGCACCGCTGCTCACAAGCCAGGGAAACGCTCCCG